TTATCCTCGAGTGGTCCTACCTTTTCCATAGTTATCTTTTTGTTTTTAATCTATGTATAGAATGCCTTGGTATTCTTTTTAACCCAATTGTCAAGGTCATTTCATGGCCTTTTCTTGCTCTCCTTACTCCCATAGGGGTAGCGAGACAAAAAAAAATAAAAAACACAAAAAACTTAAGGAATTACAACTCAGGGCCTAGGCAGCGTAGATGTGTACACCAGTTTGGTGACATGATCAAAATCAGGGCTGCAGTAGAAGCTAAAAGTGGGAAACTTTGAGGAAGGGTGTAAACAATTCTAAAAAAATTTAACGGTACAGCATTTGGGAAACTGACAGAATTGGACAGAGACAACATGAATTTACAAAAGGGAAAGCACACTTAACAAATCTGTTGGCCTTTTTCCAGGATGTAACTAATAGAATTGATAAGGAGCTGATAGATGTGTTTGACACAGATTTTCAGAAGGCTTTCAATAAGGTCTCGCGTAAGTGATTAGCTTGCAAAATTAAAGCATATGGAGTTTGGGGGAAGTATACTGGCATGGATAGAGAACCGATTGGCAGACAGCAAATAGAATAGGAACAAATGGTAGCAAGTGACTAGAGGAGCACAGAGATCGGTGTTTGTATCCCCGATATTTACAACATTAGTCATTTAGGTGAAGGAACTAAATAATATTTCAAAGTTTGCACATGACACAAAGCTCAGTGGCCAGATGACGAGGGAGGAGAATACAGAAGCTTCAGTGTAATTTGGACAAGTTGAGTAAGTGGACAAATGCATACTGGATGAAAAATAAAGTGGATAAATGTGAGGTTATCCACTTTGGTCACAATAACAGAAAAGGCAGATCATCAGCATGACAATAGATTGGGAAAGGGGGTGGTGCAACAAGACATGGGTCCCCTTCTACATTATCTGCTGCAAGTAAGCCTACAGTTGCAACAGGCGGTGAAGGCAGCAATAGCAAAATAAGAGATAGTAAGAACTGCCGATGCTGGAGTCAGAGATAACAGTGTGGAGCTGGAGGAAGACAGTAGGCCAGGCCGCATCAGAAGAGTAGGAAAGTTGACGTTTTGGGTCGGGACCCTTCTTCAGAAATTTCTGAAGAAGGGTCCCGACCTGAAATGGCAAAATAATTTGTGTACAGGAGCAGGATGTCTTGCTGCAATTTTACTGGGCCTTGGTGAGTACTGTGTGCAGCTTTGGTCTCCTTATCTGAGGATGGATATTCTGGCTATAGAGGGGATGCAGCAAAGGTTTACCAGACTGATTCTTGGAATAGCAGGACTGACGTATAAAGAGAGATTAGATTAATGAGGACTAAAGATGGCAGGGGGGGACCTTGTAGAACTAATAAATTCCTAACAGGATTAGACAGGATAAATGCAAGAAGGATGTTAATCCAGAACCAGGGGTTACAGTTTAAGGATATGAGGTTGCTCATTTAAGAGATTTAGGATCAGGAGAAATTTCTTCACGCAAAGTGGTGAGCCTGCTGAATTTTCTACCATAGAAAACAGTTCAGGTGACAATATTCTGTTTCCAAAAGGTAGTTAGGCATCGTTCTTAGGGCTAAAGGATATGAAGAGAAAGCGAGAACAGGGTACTTAGTTAAATGATCAGCCATGATCATACTGAATAATGGAGCAAGCTCAGAGGGCTGAATGGCCTACTCCTGCTTCTATTTCCTGTATTTCTATGTTTTTATGCAAGTAGTTACAGGGATTTTGGGAAGGGGGAGGGGGGGAAGGGGTGTGATGTTGGTGAGCAAAGCTATTGAGAACTGTGGAAAAAAAAACAAGTACCTTTTAAACTAAATCAAGTTTACTTCAGACTGGTAACAAATGTAGGCCAGTGAGCACAAGCATCATGGGTGAACTCTGCATGAGTTCAGATGAGGGCCAAGCTTTGGATGATGTCAAGCTTCGAGGGCAGGAAGCCCATCAGGGAAGACTGGAAATGCCAACGCCAGAGACAACAAAGGCATGCAGTTAGAGTAATAGGAAGACTGCATAAAATCTTAAATAACTGAATAAACACACGACCTAGAACTAGGAACCATGGTTTAAAATAAAGGATCACCCATTTAAGGCAAGAAATAAGGAGGTGGGGGTTGGGGGGCTGTTATTATTGAAAATACACTGAACTGGATTAGCCATTTAAACACGGCAACTATGAAAGCAATTCACAGACTGGGAACTCTACGGTAAACAATTCAGCTGCTGACCACCACTAGTCTCAAGTCTTGTCCACCTAAGAGCACAAGTCAGAAGTCTGATAGAATACTCTCCATCCGACTGGATGAGGGGACTCCAACAACACAAAAGACTTGACACAGTTTCGGGCAAAGCAGTGTGCTGGACTGGCAATACACCTACCATTTTCAACATTCAACAGGGAAAACAAGAAAATGTTCTGTTTCAGTATGTGGATGTATCTACTAGAGAAGGTCAAAACGTGATCTACTCTTGGGAAATATGGCAGGGCAGGTGGCTGAGCACTTTGGGGCCAGTCACCATAATTCTATTAGTTATAAAATAGCGACAAAAAAGGATAGACGGGATCTAAAATTAAAGTTCTAAACTTGAGGAAGGCCAATTTTGATTGTATTAGGCAGTAACTTTGAAAAAATTGATGGCGGAGGAGGGGGAACGCAGATGTTCGCAGATAAAGGGAGGGCTAGAAAATGGAAAGCCTTCAAAAAATGAGATAACGAGTGTCCAGAAACAGTACATTCCTGTTAGGGTGAAGGGAATGCTGGATGACTAGAGAAATTGAGATTTTGGTCAAGAATAAGCAGGAAGCACATGATAGGTACAGACAGCAGGAATCAAGTGAATCCCTAGAAGAGTATAAAGTCAGTAGGAGTATACTTAAGCGGGAGGTCAGAAGGGCAAAAAGGGGGCACAAGATAGCTTTGGCAAATAGGGTTGAGGAGAATCCAAAAGGGATTCTACACGTACATTAGGGACAAAAATAGTAACTATGGAGAGAAAAGGATCCCTTAAAGATCAGCAAGGGGCCTTATGTGTGGAACTACACGAGATGGGGGAGATACTAAACGAGTACTTTGCATCAGGTGTTTACTGTAGAGAAGGATATGGAAGATAGAGAATGTGGGGAAATAAATAGCAACATCTTGAAAAACATTCATAGTAGAGATGGTGGTGCTGCTGGACATCTTAACACACTTAAAGGTGGATAAATCCCTGGGACATGACAGGTCTGCCTTAGAACTCTGTGGGGAAACTAGGGAAGTGATTGTTGGGCCCCTTGCTGACATAGCTGTATCATTGATAGCCATAGGTGATGTGCCAGAAGACTGGGCATGGACTAATGTGGTGCCACTATTTAAGAACAGTGGTAAGGAAAAGCCAGTGAACTTTAGACCAGTGAGCCTGATGTCAGTGGTGGCAAGTTGTTGGAGGGAATCCAGAAGGACAGGATTTACATGTATTTGGAAAGGCAAGGACTAATTAGGAATAGTTAACATGGCTTTATGCGTGGGAAATAATGACTCACTAATGAGTTTTTTGAAGTAGTAATGAAGAGGATTGATGAGTGCAGAGCAGTGGGCGTCATCTATACAGACTTCAGCAAGGCGTTCGACAAGGATCATCATGGTAGACTGGTTAGTAAGGTTAGATCACATGGAACAAAGCAAGAACGAGCCATTTGGATACAGAACTGGCTCAAAGATAGAAGACAAAGGGCGGAGTTGGAATGTTGCTTTTCAGACTGGAAGCCTGTGACCAGCAGTATGCCATAAGGATCAGTGCTGGGTCCACTGCTTTTTGTCACTTATATAAATGATTTGAATGTGAACATAGAAGGTATGGTTACTAAATTTCCAGATGACACCAAAATTGGAGTAGTAGACAGTGAAGGTTACCTCAGAGTACAACAGGACCTTGATCAGGTAGACCAATGGGCCAACGATGGCAGATTGAGTTTAATTTTGATAAATGTGAGGTGCTGCATTTTGGAAGGCAAAATCAGGGCAGGACTTATACACTTAATAGTAAGGACCTGGGGAGTGTTGCTGAACAAAGAGACCTTGGAGTGCAGGTTCATAGTTCCTTGAAAATGGAGTCACAGGTAGACAGGGTAGTGAGGAAGGCGTTTTGTATGCTTGCCTTTATTGGTCAGTGCATTGAGTATAGAAGTTGGGAGATCATGTTGCAGTTATATAGGACACTGGTTAGGCCACTGTTGAAATTCTACGTGCGATTCTGGTCTCACCCCTGACTATAGGATGGATGTTATGAAACTTGAAAGGAGTTCGGAAAAGATTGACAAGGATGCTGCCAGGGTCAGAGGGTTTGAGCTATAGGGAGAGGCTGAATAGGCTGGGGCTATTTTCCCTGGAGTGTCGGAGGCTGAGGGGTGACCTTATAGACGTTTATAAAATCATGAGGGGCATGAATAGACAAGGCCTTTTCCATGGGGTGGGGGAGTACAAACGTAGAGGGCATAGGTTTAATGCGAGGGGGGGAAGGTTTAATGGGAGGGCAGGAAAGATTTAGAAGAGACCTAAGGGGCAACTTTTTCAGGCAAAGGTTGGTGCGTGTATAGAAGGAGCTGCCCGAGGAAGTGGTGGAGGCTGTACAATTACAACATTTAAAAGACATTTAGATGGGTTATAAAGAAAAGCAAGGGTTTAGGAGGGATACAAGTCAAATGCTGGCAAGTAAAACTAGATTAATTTAGGATGTCTGGTTGGCATGGACGAGTTGGACTGAAGGGTCTGTTTTCATGCTGTGTAGCTCTATAAGTCTATGACTCTATGATTGTCTACCTATATGCAGAGCACCTCCCACACTTCAAATAATTGGTGTGGATAAATCACTAGAATTGATTTTTTGTTTAAACATAACCAATATATAATTTTCTTGTTTTCTGCACACTCTGCCATCCCAGTAGTATCCTGTGGAAAGGCTGTTGAGTTCTCAGCAAAAGACCTTGACTTCTGGGTTTCAACAAAAGCTGCTCTTACCTGGAATGTAGTTCATCATTTCATCAAAAGTTTGTTTTGCCCTCCTTTGTTTGTCTTCGAGAGAGCGAGGCTCAGTATTCTCACAGAAGACAGAATCTGCAACAAGAATATTTCGTTATAGCCTTATTTCCCTAAGCAAGTCAGTGCGAGTAAAGTTAATTATTGACACAAATATTTCAAAGCCATATTAACCAGAGACTAGAAAGTCACAGTACAAAAAAGCAGCATTTCATGTCACTATGGGCTCCATTAATAGCACATTTTGATAGGATGATCCTTGCCACATTCATAAAGTAAATTCCTAAACAAGGTTGGGACAGTGTAAATCTGGGAGGGATGTCACCTTTCTTAATCACTCATGGTCCAACATCTCTTGATCTTTACAGGCACCTCCTCCCCAACCCTACAACCTTGATCTCTGCCTTCCTTCAATTCTCGCCTCTTGCAGATCACAGATCCTGTGCCCCTCTATGACTGGTGATTCTTCAAGTTGAGGCCCTAAGCTCTGAAATTCCCCCCTTAAACCAGGTAATCACAACACCCACCCTCCCCCCTTGCCTTTGAATTATTTTTGGAAAAAAATAAACTCTTGGCCATGCTTTTGATAGCCTGCCCCAACATCCTTGTGGTTCAGTGTTAAATTTAGTTTGATAATGTACCTGTGAAGTGACCAACAGTATTACTACATTAAGACAACTACATAAACGCAACTTTCTGTTGGTACAATTTTAGTCCCAAAACCAATATGGTGCTTTGACAATTACGTATTCCCGCCTTGCATTACTTTTAGACCTGCTAGTTGACAACATTTACAGGCACATTAAGAACACATGAGAAGTAGGCCATTCAGGCCCTCGAGCATGCTCTGCCATTCTAGATCATGGCTGATCATCTTTGCTAACTGCCTTATCCCTTAATGTTTTTAAGGGCTCAAAATCTCTCAATCGTGGTTTTGAATTTACTTAATGACTGAATACTTCCACAACCCTCTGGGGTACAGAATTCAAAAGATTCACCACCTTAGTGATGACGTTCTGCCTCATCTCAGTCCTAACTGGAATTTATTTCAGAGACATATCCCCACACCATAAAATCATACAGTACAGAAGAGGCCCTTCAACCCAAACAAGTCTGCACTGCTAGATATAGCGTACTACTTACCATAGTATAATTTTCCCGCACTAGACCCACAGCTTTGAATGTTATGACACTTCAAGTGCTAATCCAAGTACTTTTTAAAGATGGTGAGGTTTCCTGCCTCAAGTACCCTCCAAGACAGTGTACTGTCCGCGTGAAAAAGTTTTCCTCAAATTTCCATCTAAAATTACCTGCCTTTCACTTTCAATTTAGGATCATTACTGATCCTTCGACAAAGGAGAACAGTTGCTTACTGTTCACCCTGTCCATGCCTCTCAAATCTTATACACCTCTATCACATTCTCCCTTCAAGCTTCTCTGCTCCAAAGGAAACAACCTGAGCTTATCCACCCTCTCTTCATAGCTGAAATATTCCATCCCAGGCAATATTTTGGTGAATCAGGTCAGGTTTTGGCCCCAAACGTGGACTTACCTGCTCCTCAGATGCTGTTTGACTTGCTGTGCTTTTCCAGCCTCACTCTATAGACTCTGGCTGCCAGCATCTGCAGTCTTTATTAACTCCAAACTATTTTCTAAAATCCATTAACCACATCCTTCATAATAGATTCCAGTATCTTCCAACAAACAGGCTAATAGATCTGTACTTCCCTTATGTTCTCCTTCCCTTTCCAAATGATGGGACTATATTTGCAAACTTTTCAATCAGCAGGACTGTGGCAAAATAAATAAAGTCTTGAAAGGTGATCATGAAAGCACTTACCATCTCTTTAGCCATCTCTTTCAACACTCCATGGTAAGGTTATTGCTTCCTGGGATTTACCAGCTTTCATTATCATAGAATCCCTACAGTGTGGAAACAGGCCCTCCGGCACAACAAGTCCACACTGACCCTCAGAGCATCCCAACCAGACCCACCCCCTTTTAACCCACCTAATTTACACAGCCCTGAACACTGAGCAATTTAGCACAGCCAATCCACCTAGCCTGCACATCTTTGGACTGTGGGACAAAACCCACGTAGACATGGGGGGAATATGCAAACTCCACAGAGTCACCCGAGGGTGGAATCAAACCCAGCTCCCTGGCACTGAGGCAGCAGTGCTAACCACTGAGCCACCATGCCGCCCATTTCAGTTCCATTAATTTCTCCAATACTACTCTTGTTACAAAAACAAATTTTTCAAATAAAAATGAACCACATTCTCAATAGATGCTTACATATTAATTACCTCAGGAATATCCAAGTCTTCCTGTGAAGATAGACACAATACTTTAGCTTCTCTGCGATTTCTCTATTCGCTATTAAAAGTTATTGTCTCCACCTGTAATGGACCCACATTTGTCTTTCCTAATCCTCTCTCTTTTATATACCAATGAAACTTTTACAATTTGTTTTTGCTTCTTGATAGTTTATATTAATATTCTATTTTTATTAATTTCTTTATTCTTCTTTGCTGAACTCAAATTCTCCCAATCCTCAATTTTACAATTTTTTTTGGCAACTTTAAGGTTCCTCCTTTGATCTAATACTATATTTAGCTTCCCCTCATTAGTCATGACATTCTCACTTTTTATGTTAGATATTTTTGCCTGATAGGATTTTTTTTTTGAAAACCAAGCTGTAATTCTTTAAATGCAGACATTGCATACCTGCTGTCAAGCTTTTTAATGTATTATTTCAATCCCCCTCAGCCAACATCCTCCTCATACCTTCATAAATGCCTTTGATAAGATTTTTAATTTTCTGACAGACCTACATCTTTTTCAAACTTAATGAATATTTCTTTCAAATTATGGACATTATTTCCTAAAGGTTCTATTACAACAGGTTTAATTAGCCCATTCTCATTGCATAATATGAAATCTAAAATAGTCTGTGTTCTAGTCAGCAACACAACATATTGCTCCAGGAAACACTCAGAACCCCCAGCACTGGTGTAAAAATAACTGGCCACATTAAAGCATTTGCACATTTATGCTGTGACCAGCTGAGTAGCGGGATTAGACAGACTCCTCCAACCTTTGTTGTAAAATGTCATGTGGCATTACAAACACTTACAATTGCTGTACCTTTCAGACATAAGCTATTATTTCTTTCTTCATTACCCATCCTATCATGTGGTTACTGTTAGGATTCTTCTTTAAAAAGGTAAGGAGGTCAGGTATTCTACTTGAACTTGTCCCTTCCTAGTCATCTCAGTATCTCATGTGAGATTTGAATCTGTCATTACTGTACATTATGCAATCTTACTCAATTCATTTACACATGTTCCAATTGTCTCAAGTGCAGTGTACTATTCAGTCACTGCCTCTTTGTTTGCATTTCTTCTGGAAGTTTTGTTTGGCATTTGGAATTTGAACTTTCTACAGTGATGACAGCAGTGGAAAACATTTCTACCAAAACAGTATTGTCACATCTTTTCCTCTCATTGATGGTATGAAACAAATTTCTATTTCAGCATAATTATTTCAGGGAATTCTGCTTTTTGTTTAAGTTTGGTCATGACCTATGGAACCCTGTAAAATCTTCTACCTTGACCTTGACATTTTGCTGTTTAACTCCTTCCAGCTTTTGAATGAGATGCTGATTAGCACATTCCTTTAATGAAGTACACATACGGGACACCAAATATTAAACAACTAAATTTGAGTGATATTTATTGGACGCAATCAAGTCTTAACCCCTTCAGATCTATATATAGGTGTGTACAAACGTGAAATTACCAGTTGCACCTTATCATCTGCCAGATCATTGGAAAAATTTGCCAGGAATGGCACCTAGATTACTAGAGACTGGGGAAGAGAAGGGAAGCAAATTGCATCCACTAACAAATAATAAAAAAAAGTTGAGAAATTTTAGCTCACTGCATATGGGATCACTAACTCTACATTGGAGCTATTTTTAAACTTTTCTTTGTTTCCTCATTAAGTATTTACATCTAAATGCTATGATGGCTTGGTTCCTATGGCACTCAGTAGTACATTCTATATTCTAATAAATTTTGAGCCAAGATATGTCTGTCACTGGTTCATTCTTTAGTGAAAACCTTTTTATCCATTTAGGCTGTTCCATTATTTTGAGCAATAGTATCAGATTTCCCCAAAATCTTTTCTGTTCAGAATAATGGCCTAATGTTTCCAATCACCAATTACAACTTCAGATTTGACATAATTCCAGCAATTATATTTTCATTACTGTATAGAGAGGTATAAAGTAGCAAGGAGTTCATAGCAATACCCTACTTTAAAAAGGCCTCTTACAGGCTCAGCACATCGTGTAACTGATACTCCTATATATAACACACAGTTCAATTTACTGTTTGTGTTTTCACCACATTTTTAAAAGTTCTATGCAACATGTATTCTTCCAATCCAGAATTTTTAATATTTAGAATATGCAAGGATATTCTTCCATTATCCTCAAATAAACCTGTATCTGTCACATCTATCTATTCCTCTAATCTGTATGATTTGTAATTTTCTGCATTTTTCCTCTGCTGTGCTCCTTAACTCAATTTCAGTAAATGTTTAAAATTGATTTCTAAACCCTTGGCCAAACTTTTGTGTGAACAGAAATTACAGATTTTGAGAGGATACACTCAGCCAAAACATGCCGTTTGGTAAAATTTCCACTACTCATACTCAATTCTAACCGGTTCTCGACATCCAATCTGAGAAGTGACAATTGACCTGGCCTCCACAGCCTTCTGTGGCAGTGAATTCCATAGATCCACCACTCTCTGGCTGAAGAAGTTTCTCCCTGTCTCCATTCTGAAAGGTCTTCCCTTTACTCTAAGGCTGGGCCCTCGGGTCCTAGTCTCAGGATTATGAAGGAATTGAGCCACTTCCAGGCAAAATGTGGATCAACTGATTGGGGCACACGACAAATTCTAAGGTTCTTTTCTTCCTTCTGGGAAAGGGTCTCTTACACTTCTACAATCAGATTCATTTTTATATCCAGCAATGCCTATTCATACATTAGGAATAGTTCAAAGATAGCAAAAATAATAAACTGTCAAATAGGCTACTTCACTCTTTGATGATTTTTGCAACTTTCCCAATACGCAATTTCATTAGTTCCAACAATTGGTTGCATACCAAAACTGTTAGCAACAGGGAGGAAAAAAATGATTAACAAGGCAAGAAAGTTATGCTGACATACTGTATTCTCAAACAAAAAAAATCTTTCCTGTCAAAGTCTAAATTTATGCTGAACTACAGATAGCTTTAGATTTGTGCACTCAACTCCATAGTGACCAGGTTATTTGAATAGTTTTGAGTGGGTACGGGCTCAGGAGAATACAGTTCTAGTACCTCCGCTGCCTTAATTATCCACAGTCTGTATTGTTAACATTTCAGCATTTGTGGCAGATTCGTTTCAACTACCTTCCATTAGCACTTGCACAAAATTTAAGATTAATATTTAAAATCTGTAAATAATTTGAAAAAGATAAAATTATGAGCCTAATGCACTATCCAGCTCATTTACATCTTAAGGTGTTAGTTGAAACTTACTATACAAATTAACCCAACCACCCCAAATTTAATGCAATGGCTATAAAATACACTGTAATCCTATACTCAGGTACATGTGAACATAAAATCTAATTCATTTTCTGAGTTCTGAGGAAGGGTCACAGGATCCAAAACGTTAACTCTAATTTTTTTCTTCACAGATGCTGCCAGACCTGCTGAGCTTTTCCAGCAACTTTTGTTTTTGTTCCTAATTCAACTCGATGCCGTCTTCCCTTTCCATGGTCGTCATACGTGGTGCACTCGACTTTAACAGTGATGTGTTTAAAAGCCCAAGACATGCAGGAAAATAGTCTGTCAGAGACAGTGCAACAAAAGAAGAAATGTTATAGACAGTCAGGTCTGAGCTGAGAAGGAAGGAAGAATCTGCACCCTTAACATTAGCATGTCCCAAAGAACTATAAAGCTAGTTAAGTATTTTTGAAACACGGTCACTTATGCATTCAAGGAGATTCACACTTGCAAAAGAATTAAAGAGGCACTGAATCTGGGTAAACTAGAAGAATAAGTAGCACACTCAAAGCTGGGATTGTATTGCATCTCTTTCTTGCTCTCCTTAATGAATTTCTCTTTACCCTTCAGTCATGCAAGTGTGTACAAATTCTTCCATTTCTCACCTGTTTATCTTTCCTGTTCTATCATCTTGATCTCCTTCACTTTTGTCTCCTCTTTCATTTCTTAATGAGGTGTGGGAAATATGCAGGCTTGTTGATGCGTTGAAAGACTTACGTGGTCAGATGGGCAGGAAAGCAATCTGCCTGCAAAACTGAGCAAACAGATGGGCAAGAGGCAGTCTGGAGTAGCCAGCAGGATCTAGACTGAGGGGTTAAATAACTGGGCAGGAGGGCTGGTAAGAAAATGCGTTGCTGCAGAAACTGGCTTAGAATCAGAGTCATACAGCACAGAAGCAGACCCTTTGGTCCAACTCTTCCTTGCTGAAGTTTCCCAAACTAAACTAGTTCCACTTGCCTGCATTTGGCCCATATCCCTCTAAACCTTTCCTATTTGTATACCAACCAAATGCCTTTTAAATGCTGTAGCTGTACCTACATCTACCACTTCCTCTGGAAGTTCATTCCACATACAAACTACCTTCTGTGTGAAAAAGTTGCCCCTCAGGTCTCTTTTAAATCTTTCTCTTCTAACTTTAAAAGTATGCCCTCTAGTTTTGAACTCCCCCAAGTTAGAGAAAAGACCTTTGCTATTCACTTTATCTCTGCTCCTCAATTTTATAAACCTCTATAAAAGGTCACCTCTCAACCTCCTACAATCCAGGGGAAAAAAGTTCCAGCCTATCCAGCCTCTTTATAACTAATACCTTCTAGTCCCAGCAACGTCCGGGTAACTTTTTACAGAACCCTCTCCAATTTAATAATATCCTTCCCATAGATTTGGGCAGGCAACTGTGGCAAAATCTGGATGGAGAATACAAGAGAATTGGCCAATACACATAGCAGGAGGATGCAGAAAGCAGGAAAGCCATGTTGGCTTGGTCTTTTGGTCTTTAGTCTTTAAGCAAAGAGGGCAAGTGGCAAAATGAGTAGTTATCATTTGTCACCTGGAAGTAGATAAGCCAGGAAGCATTTGGATAATGCAAGCAAACACATTCAATACACAAATAAACTAAGACCACACAGGTAGGTCGAGAAGTACGTGAAACGGGAGAAATGCCAAACCTACTAGAGTCCTTTCGCAATGTACTGTTTTCTCATCCAATAGCCCTATATTCAGCTATCCGTTAGTCCACAAGATATAGGAGCAGATTAGGCCTTTCAGCCTATTGAGTCTGCTCCACCATTCAATCACGGCTGATACGTTTCGCGAGCCGCCTTCTGCCTTCTACCCGAAACCCTTGAGCCACTAAGAAATCAAGAACATATCTTTGTCTTAAATACACTCAATGACTTGGCCTCCACAGTGCTCTGTAGCAATGAGTTCCACTGATTCATCAGACTCTAGTTGAAGAAATTCCTCATCATCTTAGTTCTAAAGGATCAGTCCTTCACTCTGTGACTGTGTCCTCAGGTCCTAGTCTCTCCTACTAATGGAAACATTTTCTCCTCATCCATTCTCTCCAGGCTTCTCAGTATTTTGTAAGTTTCGATGAGGTCACCTCGAGTTTTCTAAACACCATTAAGTCCAAAGCCAGAGTGCTCAACTACTCTTCATATGACAAGTCCTTCATCCCAGGAATCATTCTTAGAGGGGGTCCAGTGGAGATTTTCAACACCAGCACATTAGATAGGGAACCCAAAACTGTGCCCATTATTCCAAATACGGTCTGACCCGAGCCTTATACAGCCTCAGCAGTACATCTCTACTCTTGTATTCTAGCCTTCTTGAAAAAAATGACAACGTTGCATTTGCCTTTCTGACTGTCAACTGAACCTACACACCAACCTGAAGAGAATCTGGAACTTGTGCTTTGGATTTCTGAAGTCTTTCCCCATTTAGAAAACAAACAGTCTATGGTTTTATTCTTCCTAACAAAGTGCATAACTCCATATTTTCCTACATTGTATTCCATTCGCCACTCCCTTTCTTGGTCTCCTAGCCTGTCCAAGTCCTTCTGTAATCTCCCCATTTCCTCAAAAATGCCTGTTCCGGCAACTATCTTTGTGCCATCTCCAAACTTAGCAAAAATGCCTTCAGTTCCTTCATCCAGATTGTTAATGCTTAACGTGAATTGTTGCCGCTCCAACACTGACCCCTGCACAACTCTACTAGTCACCAGCTGCTACCCTGAAAAAGACCCCTTTACCCTTATTTCTGCCTTCTGTCAGTCAGCCAATCCTCCATCTATGACAGTACCTTGCCCCTAACACCATGTGCTTATTTAGCAGCCTGCTGCGTGGCACTTTATCAAAGGTCTTCGGCAAATCTAAATAGATTATGTTCACTGGCTCTCCTTTGTCCACTTGCCTGTTACCGCCTCAAAGAATTCTAACAGATTTGTCAGGCAATGACCTCCCCCTGAAATCATACTGACTCTGCCCTATTTTACCACATACATCCAAGTACTCCGCAATCTCATTCTTCATAACGTTCTCTAAAATCTTAACCGAGGTCAAGCTAACCGGTCTATAATTTCCTGTTTTCTGCCTCCCTCTCTTCTTTAACCAGGTATTACATTACGCTTTTTTCAGTCCTCTGGGACCCTCCCTAACTTCAGTGGTTCCTGAAAGATCACCACGAATACCTCTACAATCTCCTCAGCTATCTCCATAAAACTCCTTCAGAAATCTGGAGTGTGGTACATCTGGTCTGGGTGATTTATCCACCTTCAGACCTTTCAGCTTCCCCAGCACCTTCTCTTTAGTGATGGCCTCTATGCTCACCTCTGCCCAACTGCCTTTGAAGTTCTGCTATGTTCCTAGTGTTTTCCACAATGAAAACTAATGCGAAGTACCTACTCAGTTCCTCTGCCTTTTTCTGCTCCCCATTACTACTTCTCCAGCCTCACTTTCCAAAAATCCAAAGTCCACTCTTGCCTCTCTCACCTTTTGAATATCTAAAAAGCTCTTGCAATCTTCGTTTATACTACTAACTAGCTTACCCTCATTTCATCTTCTCTTCCCAACCCTTACCCCGATTTCTTTTTAAGTTCTCTTCTGCTGATTCTTAAAGGCTTCCCACTAATTCCACATTGTATGTTTTTCTTTTGCTTTTATGCTGTCCCCAACTTCCCTGGTTAGCCATGGTTGACTCGTCCTGTCCTTAGCACATTTCTTCTTCACCTCCTGAATTACCCCCAGAAACTCCTGCCATTGCTGCTCCAACTGTCTTCCCTGCTAGGCCAGGCTTCCCCTTCCAATTAATTCTGGCCAGCCCCTCCCCACGTTTGTCGGTACCTTTACTCAATTGTAATGCCGTTCCATCTGATTCCAGCTTCTCCATCAAACGGCAGGATGCATTTTAACATATTACAGTCACTGTGCCCATGGGGTTCCTTCGCTTTAAGCTCCCTAATCAAGTCTGCCTTATTACAAATCACCAAATCCAGACTGCTCGTACCCTAGTTAGCTCTATCACGAACTGCTCCAAAAAATATTTCAAACATTCCATTTCTTGAGGTCCATTACCAACCTGATTTTTCCAGCCCATTTACATATTGAAGACCTCGGGACTGTTGTAATTGTGCCTTTCTTATCTCCAGATTTATTTTCTTTCCCCCATTCTAATTACTGCTGGCAGGCCTGTACAATAACTAACAGGGTAAAAACCAAAAGAACTGCGGATGCTGTAAATCAGGAACAAAAACAAAGTTGCTGGAAAAGCTCAGGTCTGGCAGCATCTGTGAAGGAGAAAACAGAGTTAACGTTTCAGGTCCTGTTCGGAGGAAGGGTCACCGGACCTGAAACGTTAACTCTGTTTTCTCCTTCACGGATGCTGCCAGACCTGGTGAGCTTTTCCAGCAACTTTGTTTTTGTTAACTGTAACAGGATATCTTTTTCTTCACAGTTCCTCAACTCTACCTACATAGGAAGAAGTCATATAGAATGGTAAAATCTATCAATTTAAATTTAATTTCTTACTAACATGGCAACCCCATCCCCTCTGCCCTTCATCTGTCCTGTCGATAGGATGCATATCGTTTGGTATTTTGTTTCTCAGCCTTGATGCCCTTGTGGTCACATCTGATACTCACAATATTGTACGTGCCGATTTCAATCTGTTCAACTGAAAGATTTACTAGGAATTTCTGTATTCCAACAACTTGCAATTATACAGCATCTTTAGTACAGTAAAAAGTCCCAAGATTTTCAAATAGTAGCAATATCAAGAAAAGTTTGACAATGAACCACATAAGGAGTTATTACAGATAACCAAAGGCTTGATGAAAGGTAGAGTTTAAAAAGGAGGAAAGAGAGGTTGATGGGTTAGGGAGAGAATTTCAGAGCTCAAGGGTTAGCCAGCTGAAGGAATGAATATCTTCCATACACAAACCATTATCATAGACCCACCTCTGAGCAGGGTTATAAGGGAAACCACTCGATGTTCTTGTAACAACTGGCTCAGCTTATACTGAAGGTAATTGTCACAATATGCTTCAAGTGTGTTCTTAAGGAGAATCCGTCCACCCATTAATAAGTGATGCAACCAGTCTGGCATGCGAAAAACAACACGCCCTGCAATTCAAAATAAAAATGAAATGGTTAGCAAAATAAATTCACTTCTAAACACAGCATATAACGGAGTATTTTGGCTCTGATCACCTTTGTTCTTAGCCATTTGTTTCTTTTTATGGTGAAAAATGACAGGTTTCAAGGAAACAAGTGCAGCAATGTGGGTTCCTGGCACTCCCATATGGGAGAACGAACAACTCTCAAGCTGTGTGTAGTGTGATGCCATGTGGGGTCTGGAGTAGAATTTTTCCCATAAGCCCTATCCAATTTCATCCCAAATAAATGTATGCGACCCATGATCTGTGTGCAAGACTAGATCAACATTATTAAATTCAATCCAACAACACCCAGTGTGTTAAATGGTATCCAAATAGGTATTTTTTTCCCAATTTCACTCATCTCTGCAGTTGCTCCTCATGCATTCTTTGCACTCACATTTAACTTGAACAATTACATTGACATAACTTTAACATTATAAAACACACTACTTGAACATTAAAGGACAAATCTAAGTGTCAACAAGTGATATTGTTTGGTCAAACGTTTAGTCAAAGAAGCGATGTTATAGGAGAGGTAGAGAGGCTTAAGAAAGGACTTCCAGAACAGAAAGGCAGCTCAAAGCGTGAAAAACAATTGCGGCATTAAGGATGCACATAAGATCAGAACTGGGGAGAAGCAGAGATCACAAAGGGTTGTAGGGTTGGAAGAGATAAGAAAGTTAGGAGGAATGAGGACATTCAGGACTGGCATGTTCCAATAAAGAAGCATAGTAAAGTTTAGAAAGCTAAAAAATCGGTCAGAACCTACAAGGCATATAAAGGGAGCAGGAAAGAACTCAAGCAGAGAATTAGGTGAGCAAGAAAAGGTCATTAAATGACTTTGGCAAGTAGGGTTAAAGAGAATCCCAAGGCATTCTATACATATATTAAAAATAAGAGGATAACTAGGGTGAAGGCAGGGCAACTCAAGGATAAAGGATAACTTGTGCTTGGATGCAGAGGAAATAGGCAAGATCCTAAATGAGTACTTTGTGTCAGTACTTACCCAGGAGAAGGACATGGAAGATAGTGAGATTGTGTGGACCATGCTAATATGCTAGGGCATTTTGAGATCAAGAAAGGAGGTTCTGAGGAAGGGTCACCGGACCCGAAACGTTAACGCTGTTTTCTCCTTCACAGATGCTGCCAGACCTGCTGAACCTTTCCAGCAACTTTGTTTTTGTTCAAGAAAGGTGGGTTGGGTTTCTTGAAGAGCATTAAGGTGGATAAATCCACAGGGCCCAATGGGATCTATACTAGGTTATTGAGAGAAGAAGATTGCTGGGGCCTTGACCAAGATCTTTGTATCGTTGTTAGCCACTACAGGGGTCCCAGAGGACTGGCTTGTAGCTAACGTTGTTCCTCTGCTCAAGAAGGGAAATAAGGATAATCCAGGAAACTATACACTGGTGAGTCTCACATTGGTGGTTGGGAAGCTATTAGGGAGAACTCTTAGGGATAGGATTTACACGCATTTGGAAAAGCATAGCCGAATGAGGAACAGTCAGCATGGCTTTGTGTGGGGGCAGGTTACTTTGTGTGTTGATATTTTCGAGGTGACAAAGGTAATCGATGACGGTACAGCAGTGGATGTTGTCTACAAGGGGCTTTTATCAAGGTTTCTCATGATAGGCTCATCCAGAAGATCAAAATGCATGGAATCCACTGTGACTTGTCCACGTAGATTCAGAATTCGCTTGCCTGCAGAAGGCAGAGGTTAGTGGCAGAAGGTGTTTTTTTTTTTATGGCTGGAGGTCTGTGACTAGTGGTGTTCCGCAGGGATCCATACTGGACCTCTGCTGTTTGTGATATATATAAATGACTTGGATGAAAATGTAAAATGAGTGGGTTGTAATTGTGCAGATGATACAAAGATCGGTGGAGTTGTGGATAGTGTAGAAGGTTGTCAAAGGATGCAGTGGGATATAGCTCAGTTGCTGATATGAGCAGAGAAATGGCAGATGGAGTTTAATCCTGATAAGTGTGAGGTGCTGCATTTCGGAGATCAAATTTTAAGGAAATGTATAGTTACTGGCAGGACCCTGAACAGCACTGATGTACAGCAGGATCTTAGGGTTCAAGACCATAACTCCCTGAAAGTGGCTAAGCAAGTAGATAGGGTGGTAAGGAAGCCATATGACATGCTTACCTTTACTGGGGGGGGGAAATCGAGTACAAGTCAGGACATCACGCTGCAGTTTTAAAAGATTTTGGTTAGGCCACATTTACAGTATTGCATTCAGTTCTGGTCATCACATTACAGGAAGGATGTGGAGGTTTTGGAGAAGGTGCAGAAGAGGTTTACCAGGATGCTGGATTAGAAGGAATGAGCTATAAGGACAGGCTAGAAAAACTTGGGTTGTTTGCTCTGGAGTGGCAGAGGCTGAGGGGAGACTTGAAAGAAGTCTATAAAATATGAGATACATAGATATGGTGGATGGTCAGAAGCTTTTTCCCCTAGAGTTGAAATGTCTAAAACTAGGGGGGGGATGCGTTTAAGGTTAGAGGGGCAAGTTCAAAGGAGATGCGAGAGGCAAGTTTTTTTTTTTTTTTTTAAAATACACAGGTGCCTGGGATGCGCTGCCAAGAGTGGTGTTAGAGGCAGATTCGATAGTGGTGTTTAAGGGACTTTTAGATAAGCATGTGAATACGCAAGGAATGGAGGGATATGGACCAAGGGCAGGCAAAAGAATTAGTTTAATTTGGCATCATGCTCAGGACAACATCACGGGCTGAAGGGTCCGTTCCTGTGCTGTACAGTGCTATATTCTATTTTGCTATGTACACATCACAGGAGGAACAGATAAATTGTATATATTGTGAATAATAGAGATCAATATTTACATATGACAAATGATTCAAAACATTTTACATAATGATTTACTTTTGGAGCGTAATGACTGCAGTTGTTATCTGACAAACATACAGATATTCTAAATTAACAACTTCTTTAACAGAAAAGGTGATTAATCTGTTATTCTGTTTTTGTTATTTCTTGAATTGGTAGTGGCAGTGCTAAAGTCATGAGACTAGTAATTCAAAGTCCGAGATTATTGTTCTAGGCCCATGGATTCAAATTCCAGAATGGCAGATGGCAAAATTTGAATTCATAAAATCTGGAATTAAAACCTAGCCTCATGACACCCATGTGTCAACTATCATAAAAACCCTCCTGGCTCACAAACGTTCTTTAGGGAAGGAAATCCCAGACGAGCGCTGGTTTCTGCTAGCAAAGCTCAGGTTGTTTACTCTTGAGCGACAGAGGCTGAGGGAAGACTCGATAGAAATCTATAAAATTATGAGGTGCATAGATAGGGTTGATGGTCAGAATCGTTTCCCCAGAGTTGAAATGTCTAAAACCAAGGGGCATGCATTTAAGGTTAGAGGGGGAAACTTCAAAGGAGATGCGAGGGTTAAGTTTTTTTTACACAGTGGTATGAGTCTGGAACACACTGCCAGGAGTGGTGGTGGAGGCAAATATGTTAAGGGCATTTACGTGACTTTTAGATAAGCACATTAATACGCAAGGAATGGAGGGACATGGACCAAGGGCAGGCAAAAGGGATTAGTTTCATTTGGCATCATGTTCGGCACACCGTGAGCTAAAGGGCCTGTTTCTGTGCTGTGCAGTTCTATGTTCTATGTTCTATGAAATATGCCAGTTGGCCTCTGTGACTCCATATCCCGAGCAACATGGCTGTCTAAAATTAAAAGGCCCAACAAGCTAAGTTGAAAAAAAAATCACAACAATGTCTGAACCAAGAAGTGAAATGGGATGAGCCACCTAACAGGCACTGGAAACGAAAACAGCAAACACACGTCCGTCAACCCTGCAGAGACCTCCTCACCAACATGTGGAGGTTCATGCTAAAATTCAGGGAACTAGTCACATGCCTTACAATGTCCCAGGCACCACCTTCACTCCGGGAGTCTTCTTCCATTGGTTGATAAGGAGGCAGTGGATAAAGGCAGGAAGGAGTTGCTCTGGGAGTTCTTGACATTGGCTCTGGATCCCATTAAGTCACATGGCATCAGGTCAAACATGGGCAAGATGGTGTTTTTTTAGAAATCTACTGCAAGTTAAATTATAAGATGTAGAAATAGAAAACAGGCATTTCAACCTAGAGACTCCGGCATCATTCAATGATATCATGACTGTTCTGATAATCCTCAACTAATCATCTCACATTGATGTTTGAGTCACGCATTTAACTCTGACTATTTACCCTAGGCCAAGGACTCAGGTCATAATCCCGTTATTATTAAAATGGAGGTTCTGCTCTACAATTTATCTTCTACCTATTCAAGTTCTTTCAGCAGAATCTCCTTTGTAGTCCTATTAAAGTCATTGGTATGAACTTGGATGACTACAAATGGCTTCCTCTTCTACACCAAGCTCCTTTCCAGCCTGAGATGTTTTTAACCCTGGTGCCAGGTAGGCAACACAGCTTTTGGACTTAAACTCTCAGCTGCAGAGAACAGTATCTGTCCAACTTAATTACACTGTCACCTACCATGTTTCTATTTTCACCCACCCTTAAATGGCTCCCTGTACCACAATATTGCACTCCGTTCACTCATCAGTCCTGCGTGCAGCTTGAAAGAACCTTTTAACTGTTGGGCAGAATGGCTCCTCAAATGCAAATCCCTGGGTCTCTACCTACTACTCCATCACCTTAGCTGATGTTGAGCACCACTTACGAGAAGTACAAAGAGTGACAACAGCACAGAATGTATTCTGGTTGGGGTCCATCAGCAAGAGCAGCCAGCATCATTACTGATTGAGCTAAGTCCTAGGACTGGATATACAGCAGTTGGTGACTGGATCAACATTAATTCTCACTAATTAGCCTGTTTACAGATGCATCTGTCTGTAATTGCATCAGGAGTGACAACTGTACAGTCTTTTTGAAGACAAAGTCAACACCCCTCTCATTAAAGGAGGCACTCCAATATACTCTGTGG